TTTCTGCTTCACCGACTGGAACCAGTGCAACGAGTCGAACTTCCGCGATTGGTCGAGCAGCTTGAGGATGTAGGCGACGCCTGCGGGAGGGAGAATGATGGGGGCAGTTAGTGCGGCGACGACGGCGGCGAGGACCGTGATGATGACGATGGTGGTGGTGAAGATGATGCTGACAATGATTGGTCGAGCAGCTTGAGGATGTAGGCGACGCCTGCGAGAGGGAGAACGATGGGGGCAGTTAGTGCGGCGAGGACCGTGGGGATGACGATGGTGGAGGTGAAGATGATGCTGACGATGATTGGTCAAGCAGCTTGAGGATGTAGGTGACGCCTGCGAGAGGGAGAACGATGGGGGCAGTTAGTGCGGCGACGACGGTGGCGAGGACCGTGATGATGACGATGGTGGTGGTGAAGATGATGCTGACGATGATTGGTCAAGCAGCTTGAGGATGTAGGTGACGCCTGCGAGAGGGAGAACGATGGGGGCAGTTAGTGCGGCGACGACGGTGGCGAGGACCGTGATGATGACGATGGTGGTGATGGTGGTGATGACGATGATGACGATGATGATGATGGAGGAGGAGGGGACGAGATTACGATGATGGTGGTGATGATGGTGAAGATGATGACGACGACGACGGCGACGATGATGACGATGATGGTGATGATGATGACGATGACGATGACGATGACTCACCCATGGCGAACCCGTCGTCGGTGAACGCCGCTCCAACCTTGTTCTTCTTCGTCATCTTCTCCTTGCAGCTGATCATGTGTTCCACGTAGTTCAGCGTCAGCGGAGGAAGGATCGCAAAGAAGTTCCTCAGGTGCATGTTCTTGTTGCTCCGGAACTCACCCGAGAACACGTCCACCAGCATCTGCAGCGATCAATAATCAATAAACAATAACAAACTCACCCGAGAACACGTCCACCAGCATCTGCAGCGATCAATAATCAATAACAAACTCACCTGAGAATATGCCCAGCAGTATCTGCAGCGATCAATAATCAATAATAAACAACACACTCAGCGAAGAACACGTGCGTCTGCACTGATCAATAATCAATAACCAATAACTCCCAAGCCTGAGAAATGCATGATAGACCAATAATCAATAATCACTAACGAACCCACATGAGAACATGCCGACTAGTATTCGGCTGTGCGAGCAACGATCAATAATCAATAATCAATAACGAGCTCACCTGGAAATACTCGGTGCCTTCAGCAAAGTTTTTCGCCATATTGCTGATGACTTGATCCAAGTTTCTGCATCAAACAAAGAAACATTTTACACCGACAATTAGAACACAATACCGTTTAATATTAAAATTACGGCCGTGAAATAACAATTTAACGACCTCTTAATTAATTACTTTCGTCAATAAAATTTCGCCTGGTTTGTTTCTTGCATGTATTATACTCAGCAGGCCTATTTCTTTTCGGAGCGACTGCTCCGCATTGGCCACTTCTGTTTCTATTAATAGTCTAAAAAAGTTTATGATTGTAAACAAAAGAAGTAAAATTCAATCATTAAATTTCATACGTAAAATAAAAACGCAAAATAAACATAATAAACGATAAAAATTACAAAAAAAATAAACAGACAAAAAAAATCAAAAAATTGAGAAAAAAAACAAGTGTCGACCGACGGCGGCGGCATCCCTCGCGCGCGCTCATCGCCGTGGTTACCTAGCCGCGCGCACACACTCCTCCGACAGCTCCTCCTCCTGGCAGAGTTCCTCGTAGCAGACGATATCGTCCAGGTCGGGAACGAAGCTGATGTTGTTGCTGCAGCAGTGCAGGCCTCCCGAGCGCACCATGCGGATGTAACCCATCGCGTTGCCTACGGCGACGAAAGCCAAACGTTAGCCGCCGATGCCATCTGGTGGCACAACAAGATATTATTCGAATCAAAATTTCTTTCCGCATGAAAAGTTGATTCTTTTGAATGGGACTCGTTCTGGATTTGAGTCTGGAGTTTAGGATTTTTTCATTTTTAGACTAGCGCCTCACCGATTTGACTGATCAGCTCTCTGAACTGGTCCAGGTAGCTCTGGCCATCAGGCGTCAGTCCCAGCTTCCGGATGCCCTTGTTGAACTTGTCGGCTCTCTCGTACGGGTACTGGGAACGAGGTACATACACGTAAATATATACATGTATATGTATAATTGTATATGTATATGCATATGTATATGCATATGTATACGTACATGTACATGTATGTATGTATATGTACATGTACATGTACATGTACATGTATGTATGTACATGTACATGTACATGTATGTATGTATGTGTACATGTACATGTACATGTATGTATGTATGTGCACGTGTACATGTACATGTACATGTATGTATGTATGTGCACATGTACATGTATGTATGTATGTGCACATGTACATGTACATGTACATGTACATGTATGTATGTATATGTACATGTACATGTACATGTATGTGTGTATATGTACATGTACATGTACATGTATGTGTGTATATGTACATGTACATGTACATGTATGTATGTATGTATATGTACATGTACATGTATGTGTGTATATATGTACATGTACATGTACATGTACATGTATGTATGTATATATACATATGTGTGTGTGTGTGTGTGTGTGTGTGTGTGTGTGTGTGTGTGTGTGTGTGTGTGTGTGTGTGTACGTGTGCGTGCGTGCGTGCAAATATAAAACTAGGGTAGTTAAACCAGGGTAGTGGTCTGGCAATTTTAAATATTTAGCAGCAGTGACTTCTTTTTACCAGACCAAGCACCATCAATTATGTAAGGTGAACAGACCAAAAAATTTGGCCAAAAAAGTTTGTGTAAGGGGGCACCGACAGGGATGGTCGGGAACCCGTCACTACAGGGCTGCGTGAGGGGGCTCCAGCAGAGATGTTTGGGAACCTGTCACTGCAAGGCTGAGTGAGAGGGCTCCGGCAGAGATCGTTGGTAACCTGCCCCTACAGAGCTGCGTGAGGGGGCTCCGGCAGGGATCGTTGGGAACCTGTCCCTACAGAGCTGCGTGAGGAGGCTCTGACAGAGATGGTTGGGAACCTGCCCCTACAGGTCTGCGTGAGCGGGGTCCGACAAGGATGGGTGGGAACCTGCCCCTACAGGGCTGCGTGAGCGGGGTCCGACAAGGATGGGTGGGAATCGCGCTCGCTCGCTCACCATCTGGTTGTTCTGGCTCCGGATCTCCCGGAACATCCGAAGATCCTTGATGAGACGCGACTTGATGTGTTCGTCGTACATGAACTGAGAGAAGATGTAGAACTTCTTGCGCAGGAACTGGTAGGTGAAGTTCACCTACATGGAACAACGAAATACAATGAACAACAAGACACTATGAACAATGAAAACCTATGAACAATAAAGCGCTATGAACAACAAGAAACTATTAACAATAAAAACACTATGGAAAACGAAACACTATGAACAACAAGGCGTTATTATGAATAAGAACACTATAAACAACAAGGTTCTGTGAACAGCAACAAAAATAGAAAACTGCAGAACAACGAGGAAACAAAACTGTGGAACAACAGGAGAGAGAACAAGGGAACTACGACACCGCGATCATGTCCCGGCATTCCCCGTGGCGAGCGCTAATGAGCGCTGACGAGCAGTTCGTTAGTCTAATTAATCGCGCGATCACGCCACAGTGACAGGCAGCGAGCACCAAGGAAAACGTGAACGAACGAATCGACTACGATTCATTATGTAACAACCGTTAAAATGATCTACATAGACGGTGGCGCCCCCTATCATCATCATGCATATCGTTCAGCACCCCCTACTGCTAGAATCTGCGTGGACAGCGCCCCCTACCATCTGGACCTACGCAGCAGCAGCGGTGCCCCCTACCATCGAGACTTACGCTGCAGCAGCGGCGCGACGGCGCCCCCTACCGTCGTGTTCATAGGGGCGGCGCCCCCTATCATCATGATCTATATTGGCCAGCGCCCCCTACTGCCAGAATTTGAGCAGACACCGGCGCCCCCTATCGTCTGGATCTATGCTGCAGCAGCCGCGCCCCCTACAGTGAGGATCTAAACATGCCAGCGCCCCCTACAATCATGACCTGCCCCTGACCCTATCAGGTGGCAGCAGCGGCGCCCCCTACAGTGAGGATCTAAACATGCCAGCGCCCCCTACAATCATGACCTGCCCCTGACCCTATCAGGTGGCAGCAGCGGCGCCCCCTACCGTCGTGTTCATGAT